CGAAGAGCCTGCAGATACCAGCAGGAGAGTGGATTGAGTTCCGGCTGGAGAAACAAAAACCATCGTTAGGAACTCACGATGTTTGGGTGCGGCGCACCGCTGCGCTGATTCCGACGATCACTCGGTTCAGGAAAGGGCAACCGACTCTAGTCCGGTTGACGAACATCACTGACAGGGTGGTGTACTGTCCGGCACACCTTATTGTGATAGCCTGGGTACCCCGAGGCTTTATGCCAAAGCAAGCCGGCTACGTGCCGATCGACTCTCGGAAGTACGAGCTGTGGCAGGTGTTGACTTGTGCTGGATCACATGACGAAACCTGGTTCAAGCTGGAGTGCGAGCTGTACGAACGATGGTTGGCATCACAGCCACCCTTGGCCGAGCGACAGCCCTACACATGGCCGACTAGCATATTGCAGAAACTCGATGAGTACTCGAGTGATGGCGACGATTCACTATCGCAGGACGAACAGTGGAGCATGGAGTCTGTGGCTTGGGGCGTCGATAGTGAGACCGATGGCTCGCCAGTGGGCGATGATCCGGTTAGCGCTGCAGTCGCACAAGGAGCTTCAGCTCCTACTTCAACTGAGTGTTTGTATATCGACCGTGGTTGCAATAATCCACCGACTGAAACTCACAGCGACGAGAAATTGCCTGACGCGACCGTTGCCGATCTGGAGCACACGTTCATGTGTGTTATGCACAAACTGTCCACTGAGGGCAACGACGATCCAGTAGACGACTACTGTACATGAAGCGAACTACATCTCGCTGGAGAACTATGCTCAAGAATTAGCATTCTTACCTGATTTTGACAGAGCCCTCTGTCACAGAGCTTGATTATACCGCCAGGAATGTGAATAACTCGGGCTTCGTCGGCGATCAGCAACGACGACTCGACGATGTGCTTAAAAGGCATGTCGCAATCATCATTTCAAGCGGCAATGCATTGCCACCTCCAGCATATGGAGTGATATGTGACATCGATGTCCAAGGGCACTCACCAATTAAGCAGCGAGTAAGGCTCTCAAAGGGCTGCTGAAGGCCGGCCTCATTGTGTTCTCGGACAGTCCACGGGCATCGCCCATCGTCATTGTACTGAAAAAGAATGGCCAAGATATTCGACTATGCATCGATTACAAGATGGTCCATGCAGGCACAGCAATCATGGAGTACGCCATGCCTCTGGTCGACGACCTGTTGACCGAGCTGGATAATTACCTGTGGGTTTGTTCGTTGGATGCCGCAAGTAGATTTTGGGCAATCATGATGACGATGCGTGCGCGTAAGATTTCAGCGTTCGTTTGTGCTTTAGGGCACTTTGAGTGGCTCCGAATGCCATTCGTATTGAAGAATGCTCCCATGATCTACCAAAGGATGATCGATAATGCTTTATGGGACTTTGTACAACCTAAAGGTGGATGGGAGCGATATGCCGAACGGATGAAACTCGCTGAAGAAGCAGCCAAACACCAACGATCACTCGACGACGACTCAGATTTTACCCTGACGACGACTCAGACCATGTTTGAGGCTGATCGAAAGGCGTCGTCGGAGCTGGGTCCGGTATTGGGAATGGTGAACGATCCATACGCAGACATGTTTGCAACTAATGAACCGGACGAATCGTCGCTAGTCCCAGTGTTCCATCGTCGATCCTTCGTAGATGACATTTGTTTTGGTGGTACTACATTTGACGACTGCTTAGATACACTGGACAAGTTGCTGGCGCGGTTTGAAGAATGCAGGATCAGTGTCAGCTTTACTAAAAGCATCTTTTGTCAGTCCAAGGTTGACTTCCTCTCTCACGAGGTGTCACCTGAAGGGATAAGGGCTGACCCTAAGAAGATGACAGCTATTACCAAGTTGCCATTCCCCAAGTCGAAGAAAGGAATGCAACAATTCATCGGCTCTCTCAACTACTACAGTCGCTTCATCCAAGACTTCGCAGTCTACGGAGCTATATCAGTTGAAGGAAGACGATTACTTCGATGGAGGCGACTTGGCTGCGGCCAAAGAGAGCTTTACTGCGCTCCAACAAAAAGTAGCTGACGCTCCTATCCTACGACATTTTGATGCGAAGAAGGAGGTACACATCATGCTGTACGCCAACGAGTGGGCGTTAAGTGCAACCTTGATGCAGATGCACGACGACAAACTACACCCTGTCGGTTTTCGCGGACGAGTCCGCAAGGACGCCGAGATGAACTATCACTTGGCCGAGAAGGAAGTAATAGCTTTGTTGCTGCTGCTCAAGGTCTGTTACACCCAGCTGGCGGGAAGGACGCTGCATGTGTACACCCGATTCTCTACACTCTTATGGGTTCACAAATCTAAGTCGCTATTCGATCGAGCAGTGCAGTTTGCGGTGTTGTTGTCACCATGCCAATTGGAAGTGCTGCGAGTTAGGGAGAAGGATTGCGTATTTACTCAATTACTCCAGTCAACGATCACCAACTTCGCGGGCTTGGATGACTATACCACACGACTATGAAGGGTTTGTTGTCTCATTTGATGGTTCCGTTAAGACAGAAAAGCATGGCGGCTACGGTAGCTGCTCATGGATAGTGTGGAAGCTTCCAGAGTGGCAGATAGTGATCGCTGCGAGTGCCTACCTCAAGCAAACTACGGTGAATATCGTTGAGTACAGTGGCATGAACCATGGGGTGATAGCGGCCCTTGAGCATGGCGCTGAGGACTTAGTCATCGTTGGAGACTCGAGGTTGGCAATCCAGCAATCACTAGGGGTGATCGCATGCCATAAGGATTCGCTAATAACACTCCTGAACCGCCACCGAGAACTCGTTGCGAAGCTCAAGTCAGTCTGATATCTGCACGTAGTGCCTGAGTACAACGCAGCGACTGACTCGCTCGCTGGTGAGGCATTGGAGTCGAAGGTGTCTAAGGTGGTGCTCAACGACCACCGTAAGACTGAGCTCAAGGAGCTGAACAGAATCCAAGAAATGATCTATGGGCCGACTTCAGACGACATCAAGGTCGAAAACGCGAGTTCCGAGACTTTCTCTCAAATTCTAGACGGAAAGACACGCTACATTCACGCAATTGACAGCGATATCCTGCTACAACGCAAGACTTATGCTGCCTTTGCGCACCAAGAACGTGCCGAAGTCTCAGCTACAACTCGAAGTCAGACCGAGACCACGAAGAAACGAGTGCACTTCGAGGACGAAGTTCCTGAAGTAACGATCAATACTGAGACAACTGAGGCAGTCAACGAAACTCGGAAACGCAAGTACAATGACCTAGTGCTGTGATCAGACACGAACCAACAGGCGATGGCATTGAGCCGGTTACAGTGCAAGAAGAGCGAAGACGCCGTATCGTTAAAGTTCAGGACGAAGAACTGAGGTGGTCGAACCTGAAAGCCGTCCTGAGAGGAGAAACCACAGCGATGACTTACAAAGAGGCTCGAGAAGCCTGGAAGTGGGCGGACAACTTCGTGCTGTCACGTGACAACGTCCTGTATTACACGGGTGTGAGCAGAAGAAAGGTCGACGAAACCCAGCCCGAGATGTCGTTGAGGCTCGTGGTGCCAACCACAATGATCCAAGAGGTGCTACACAACTGCCATGACTCCATTGAAGGAGGGCACCAAGGTGTCGTTCGCTCTTACCAAAGAGTGAAACACGACTACTACTGGGTCGGTCTCTATGCAGATGTGGAAAAACATGTGAAATCATGTCTCGACTGCAGCTCGAGTAAGAGCAGACCGCAGCTCAAAGGCTACTCACCTGGCAATGTGCTCGCAGAGCGACCATTCCAGGTGGTGTCAATGGACTTTGTGATCCCTCTGCCGAGATCTCGTCGAGGGAACACTGCCTTATTATTATGGGGGAACACTGTGCTGTTGTTTTGGCAGTGCCCGTTTACCGGGTTTGGATCGCTAAAGCGATGTCGAATACCGATGCCCTGACTGTGGCCAAGGTGTTCGAGGAATGCATCTATAGACGATTTGGTGCTCCGTCTCTTATTCGTACCCACGTCTTCCAGGCCTTCACTGAATTAATACAAACACGGTCAAGGTCGACGCTGAGCTATCGCCCACAAGCGAATGGACAGCAAGAACGGTCCGTCAAGACCGTGATGCAGTCTATCAAGGTCTATGTGGAAGACCCGTTGCAGCAAGACTGGGATGAGATCGCCGAGCGACTAGTCTTTACGATCAACAACTCTCATGATATGACCAGGAAAGAGACACCATTCTAATTGGTACATGGATGGGATGCCCATACGACACTACGCGCAATGACGACCTCCATGAAGCGAGGTATTGGTAAGCAGACTGAGGCACTAGCCTGGCGGGGAGAGATTAACAGCCAGCAGCATATTGCTCTCGAGATGGCAAAAGAATACCAAGCGGTGGAGAAGGCCCGACGTGCTAGAATTCACAACAAGAAACTCAGTCGCAAAGAACAAGCCGTAGTGCCAAAAGGTGTGAACGATGGCTCGCCCGACGATGACTCGGAACCGAAGTCTCTATTTCGACCTGGAAGCCGAGTTCGGCTGTATATGGCAGCGGTCAGGGTTAGTTAAGAAGCTGGATCACCGATGACATGGTCCCTTCAGAGTGAAACGGAATGTTGAAGAGTTCGCGTACGAGCTCGAGTTACCAGATAAAAGTGGGTATCGGTTCTACCCAGTGATGCACGTCTCTCGACTGAAGGCTGTAAACGAATTTTGTGATCGGCCAAAGACGCGACTAGCTCGAGATGTTGCCGAGGAAGCGAGATTCGACTTCGACGAGGAGCGGTTGCCTGAAGACAGCTGGGTGCCAGACGAAGTTGCCGGTGAATTCGAGGTGGAAGCGATTTTGAGAAACAGAACGTTAATGTCAACCAGCACGGACAGACCTGTGCGCGAATTTGAGGTGAAGTGGGTTGGTTACGAGTCAACTACATTGGAACCAGCCTCTAACCTGTCGTGGGAGAACTCCTCTATGACTACTTGCGGAACAAGAGAAGCGAACAGCGTCTACAGATGGTCCAAGTCGCGGACGAGGACTGAAAGTCGAAAATATCATAAAGAACGACCTGGGTGTGAGGCAAAGCAGCTCACAATAGCAGACGAAAATTGCTATTGCTGTTATATGAATGCATGAAATGGATATGAAATGAATTTCTCGAAACGCGATGGAAATGAAAATGACGAAGGAAGAATTGAACGATTAACTACTCTGCAAAACTGTGAAACAACAAACAGGTAACTCGGATTTCGGCGACAATGCCAGACTTCGGCGGCGGAGACGACCCTGCAAAGAGCAGGATCAAAGCAGTTCAGCTGCTGCATCTTGAGGATCGACCGCGGTGTCACCAGCCGAACCTTGATTCAAGTCCATAGTGGCGACGGAGTTAGCGTCGTCCTCTCCAACTTCGCCATCCTCCATCTCTTCATCCTCATCGGCTCCACGAAAGGCCCGATCCCATGAAGAGTCGATGTCTTCCAACTCCAAAGACGAGTCACGGACGATCTGTGGACCAAGAACTTCGACAGTGGAGTTGGTAGGAAGGAAGAGCGGCACGTGAGCGTTGCACGGAACATACACCGTGTTGTACGGGTGCTGCTCCGGACAAGTGAACCAGTCCACACGACACGGCTCCGACTTGTCCACCAGCGCAGCCTCTGCACAACAATCTGCCGACCCAGGAATCCACATGAGATTCTCCATAGTGTAGAACGGGAGAGTCGGGTCCAGCAGGGGTTCAATTAGGAGCGAGGTGCCCGGACCGACACACCGAGGCCACATACGGCCAGGAAGGAATATCCGCAAGTTGTCGGCCCGGTCCGCGCGTTACTTGTTGTATTTGAGCCTCACTTTCTTTAAAGTCTCGAGCGCCAACTTGAACTGACGACGCTCCTTAGGGTCCTTGATAGTCCCGAGCCGAGCAGTCATCCGAGAAAAGAAGCGCTTGACCGCCTCGGGAGAGACCTAGTGTTTGCGCTTATAAATGGCGAAGCTCATCACAGCCGACTTCTCGTTGCCATAGCCGCGAAACCGGCGCCAAACTCCACAAAGCCGCTCCGGGTAGTCGACTCGCTGAAATATGCGAGAGTCCAGCTGGAAGTCGGTAGTGTCGAAGAGACAGGCGTGTTCAGGCCATAGGTCCATTGCCTTCCGCCACGGATGATCTGGAGCCATGAACTTGCAGAATGTCTCGATACCCACCGTCGTGCACTTGATCTCAGAGTCGGAAGACACGGGGGAAGGCAGGAATGCCCGCTCGATCTTGACCCAATACTTCTGCGCGCTGACGGTGGTGAGCTCAGGAGCCACGTACGGGGTCAGCGAGTCGGAAGCGCGCTGGGCAAGCTTAACCAACTCTGGGTACTTTGAGATCCAGTCAGGTAAATTTGCATCCAAAGAAGACCCGTCAGTAGTATCCTGCGGCTTTGTCTTCTTAGAAGACGTCACCTTCTTGGTTTTAGCCGACGACTTCTTCTTCCCAGTCGACTTAGGCGAAACCTTCTTCTTGCCCTTAGGTGATGACTTGGAGTCAGTCTTGGTTGTGGAAGCAGACTTGGCCGTGGCCTTAGGCTTGAGGAAAACTCAACTGCTTGAGAACTTGCAGCGGACGAACTTGCAGGTGCTGGAGCATCGAGCGAGCGTGCTGTCAAGAGAATTTTCCAGGCACTGGCTCTCCGGACGAAGCTTGGACAGCTCGCTCTTTTCATCTTCGTGAGCTTCAGAGCCCACGAATCTTGATCTGAGCTCGACTTAGACTTACGGCCCGGACGTTCGGACCCCAGTGGAGAGTTGCGTAGAAGCGCAGCATCTCAGCGAGCCGGCCGTCCATCACCTGGCAGACGTTTTCCAGTGTGCACTGGGATGACGAGTTGAGGAGTTCCCAGAGTCGCTCCTCGCTCAGAGGAGTCGAAACGAGGGAACCAGCCACGGGGGGATCTGCGGCACAGAGAGTGGTCGCCTGAAAGATCGGGAGTCAGCAGGTGGAAATGAAACGATTCCACGCAAAACGTACCGTGGAATTGGAGCGAGTCTCAGTCGCCGGTACAGGAACTGATGGTTCGTCCGAATCGGAGTCCGAGACTCCAAACGAGTTTGGATCATCGGCAGACATGTCAATTACCGGAGGGGTTGTGGACTACGAGTGACGAGTGTTAGTGGAATGGTGATGACGAGAGTGAGATGGTGATGCTTACCGATGGAGTGGATGGAGTTGCTGTCTGTGACGACGACTCAACTGGTTCTCCAGCGGGAGCCTCTTTGACGACTGCAGACGGTGTGGAGGTTTGAGTGACAGCAGGAAGTGACTGTAGTCAGTGAGTAAGCTGTAGTAGTGAGCACAAGATCCAACGGAAGGATACCGTCAAGATGGATACGTACCGGAGTTGCAGCTGGAGGTTGTGATGCCGCTGCCGATGGAGACGCGGTCTTGGATTCAGATGACGACATGAGCGCAACGACACTTTCCAGAGTGGTGCTCGTATCGCTGCGGAGGCAGTTGTGGTGTTGGGTTTCCTGCGAAAGCGACTTGCCGGCGCGAGTGCTGTGTTGGTGAATGGGACGGACCTATGGGAGCCGCCGTTGGAAGTTCTCAATCAACAAACAGTGGGCCACGCAACCGGACTTTACCGGACTACGACTCGTGACCAACGTTCGTAGGACCCTCTATAAGGACCTTCAACCACCCAAGTCACTATATCGAGAGCTGTGTATGAC